AACATACGAACCCACTTCTTGAAAATCTGATAAGCGTTGGTCAAGGCCTGCTCTGTCTTACTTAGCCTCCATCACGCGTCGCCTGTGATTGTTGTACGACTTGTGATCGTGTGTGTACGATCCGTTCTGTTGGTCGGCCGTATCGACTCCCCCTATTTCCCGAACATAGTCCTTGCGCATGCTCGGCTGCTCGGTATGCAGTCCTTTTCCTTCGCTCCCGGCTTTCCGCATCCTTCCATGGTATTGGGAAAAACAAACATACATCGGAATTAACAGCAAAAGGGATATGATCAGATTTAGGATGAAGCAGAGACACAATGACGTACGGAGTTATCGGCCCCCTCAATAAAACGGCGCAGCAGCCAATGGGCTGTATTTCATAGGGCAGGTGGGAGGATCAATTTCGTTTTGTGGCAAAACACGAGAACGCAGCTCGAAACGACAAAACAATAACGCCCCCTTCCCATACTTCAGACACAACATAACAGTTATTTACTGGTACTTGACATTAGGTAGGCGGGGAGTTGAGATATTTCTCATCGCATGGACAATAGAAGGCGGCAGGGGGAAATAACTGAAAGGACCCCAAACCCGCATATACTCGCTGGAGCGGAAGAGGTTTGAAGTGGTTGATGCCACCACCCACCAGCTCCTCCCCCTCGCCCGGCTACGCTATGTGGATGGTGCTACACAGGAGGACATATTTCGAGTCCTTCTACTGCACAAACCCGACCTCTCCCGACCGGCAGAACTGCATGTCACCACGTTGGGCAAGCTTGTGTCCAAGGCTCGTGAGGTATGGCACCGCTCCGGCCGTTCGATCGGAACGGCAAGTGCCAACCGGAAAGATGTCGTAGGACGCCAAGCACTCGAACAGCGTGGGGTTGGTGAAATAGTTGTCCATGGCGATGTAAACCCCGATCCAACGAGCTTCTCCTTCAACACCGGGCTCGCGCCAAGCAGCACCCAAAGCACCTGACGCGTAGTACGCCCTAGTGGGCAGTCCATCCATTGACGCAGGTTCGGGTCTCCGGTCATCCCCCCGTCGACGCTCGATATCATGCAGTATCCCTCTACATCTCACAGAGCCCACATATTGATACCTGTTGTTACAGCGAGGAGGGAAACCCGAAGGAAAAACAAGGTCACCCACGACAAGCGTTTTCCCCCGGCTCGATAAACTGGCACCGGGTATCTGGTGGGTTGGAACCGGTACCCGGGTACAGGGGGGGGGTTCGCCTTGTATGCATAATATGAGGTACCCCATGATTCTGTGGGAGCCGTGCCACCGGCTTTGCCGTGTACGAACATCACGATTTACCCTCCAGATCTTTGGTGCCGTGTGTCAAACCCAAATGCATACCCTGATACACGACAGATGGAAGTGGAACCGGCCGCGTATTCCCAGCACCAGGAGGCGTGTACTGGGTTCTGCCCCAGTCGGGGCATGACACTATCCATGCCGACCGCAAAAGAACAAGAAAAACGTACTGCCGCGCCCTGCCGCTGCGTGTGTAAGGCAATGCAAGATAAAAAAAACGGAAAGCGATGTAAATTCCCTGAATTTGTGTTGAAAACAACCAAGAGCATCAAACAAGATCAATCAGCTCTGAAACTACCCAGTGAAAAAATAGAGGTTCAGCCAAGCAACGCCGACGATATATTCGTCGCGTTGACTATCACAAGAAACAAACACCGATAATATTGCGGAACTCACCGTGAGTGATTGGCTTCAAGGGGTTAAACCTCTGGAGGAACTTGAAGTACGTCGAAACACTCTTGACCATCTGCTCGTCATAGGCCAGCCACTGGTTGATGTCCACGTTTTCCGCCCAGGCTTTGTTCAGAACTTCCTCCAGCAACCTGCCGAGATGTGACGAAGGCACAGGTGGTGACGACAGAACACGCGATAGAATAAGTGAGAGTGTGGGCGGACGTCATCTCCCCGAACGTACCAGATACACTGACGGTACGTGTGTACAGCTAACCGAATGCAAGCGGGGACCTCCCGGTCAGCGGGGAAAGGCTTTATTAACCTTAGTGTCGTCCTCATGTACACGCCAAATCACAGACCGACATACACCGATTTTCGTAGCTCGCGACAGTGACGGATTGCCGAGAGTGAGGGGTGCGGGGGGTCTTGTCACGTCATTGTAACAGAGAAACGGATACCAGACGAAGGCCAAGCACAACCAACCAGAAACCGCCCGTCTCACCTGATGTGCCACTTGGAGTCGTAGTCCGGGTTATCTTCGCGGTCGTCCAGGAGCCGCGAGGGTGAGTTGGCATCGGAGCAGTGGATGAACCGACAGTACAGCAGCTCAAACTTGTCTCGCGACATGCAATTTCGCACAGGAGGGTAGTCGTCGTGTTCTGATGTACTCCCGTGCTTTCTAATTCGGGTTTTCTTCGTGAGTCCCATCGTGATCGTAAGGCCAACCATGCATTAGATGTTGTCCTCGTTGAACGGGTCACCCTGGTCTGGCTCGGTGGGATCATCCAAGGTGACGCGGCCATGCGACCTTTTCTTCGATCGCTGGTGCTTACGCCGAGGGTCCACCTCACCCTCTAGAGGGTCCGTCGTGCAATGCTCAACGTACGCATTCCTGTGGGCGGAGAACAAACGACGAGGGGAATGGGCGAATGGGTAAGGTGGCGGTAAATTTGTTAGGTTGTTTCGTAAATGCTAATACTGCAGTACGAGTGGTTCAAGTGTGAGCAAACATGGAACGGATGCGGTCGTGATGCGCATTCTGTGCGGTCCAGCCTTTCACTTCATTTGTTTCGGCCGAGAGAAAGGATGTCCTGCACCTTGGTGTAACATGACGATTTCGGCGTATCGGCATTGGAAAGAGTTTTCGTCTGGATTGAGTTGGGAGGTGGGATAGGGGGTCAACAGTGTGGTCTATTCGTACAGCCTGGACCCGAGCGTCTCAATGTGTGATAGAGGTGGGGAGGCTTGATGTTCAGAGAGAGTTGCCCCAGAAGAGGAAAACACGATCTCGAGGTCGAAACACACGGACCAATCGGGTGGGTATAGACAGAATCTACGAGCACCTGTTTCTAGAAAGGTAAGGGGAGGACAACGAAAACCTTAATCCCAACCTGTAAATTCCAAGGAAAAAAAAGCCGTGCGTGTCTGGTTTGCAACAACAGTTATGCCTACAACACAAACAACGCCAGCGGGGACCAAAATCCGTGAAGGAGGGAGAGGAAACGTGCATTTATTCTTGCGCTGTACCAAGTCGACTTTTGTACGACACAGTGGCTGATCCACTTTCGGGTGAGAGGGCCCGGCTTTCGTGCCCGGCGCATTCGGGGTTAGAGACGGGACACAAACAACTGCAAAAAAAACAAGGCGCACCTTATCAACGAAGAGCTCCACTGCCTCTTGGGGAAGTTCATGTCGAAACACGTTCCCCCCGCTTGCTCAATCGCGAAGCCCCCGAAGTTGCTGCCGATCGTCTCCATGAACTGGTCCAGCGACGGCATCTTGTCCCGCGCGCCTGGGAAAGCGACACCGGGCTAGCAGAGGACCCTGCAGCGGGTTTCTTGTTGCGCCTTCTGTACGCGTCCGTGTTCTCGAATTTAGGGATCCCCCGCTCCGACCAAGCCCAGGACGCATCGACTCCCTCCTCCTCCTCCTCCTCCTCCACCGGTTTCCGCTGCCGCTGTTTGGTCGGCTTCTTGGGGGTTGCACGCGCGCCACCCTTTGCTGCCTTCGCTGCCTCTGCTGCCTCCTTCGCTTTCTTGTCCTCCTCTTCCTCGATCCTGAAGAGCTGCATTGGTCATGTCGCGGGAATCCGTCGGCCGGGGGGGGTGGGAGCAACGGAGTTGTCAGCGACGTCCTTTGTCACAGGAGTCGTGATTTCGCAGACGGAACACGAACGCAAGGCGGGCGAAAAAAAAAAGAACCAACGACCCACGTACACCAAGCTCTCGCATCACGCGCCAGTGCAGCGCAGCAGGGATCGGCTCTTCAAACACTTGCAACATATGTGAGCGTCCAGAAAACATGAACGGCTTATACACAGGTGGTAAGGAGAGTCCAGGGCACGGGTGCTGATGAACGCACATCAAAAACAATATGCAACAAAACAAATGATGGAAGAAACCAAACCACAGAAGGTCCACATAGAGCACAGCACACGAACAACTTACTTGGACACGTAACGCAGACTCGCAAACATGCGAACAATAAATGTGAGCAAAGCCGGTCGCGCTTGATGGACGGGTGTGTGCTGAATTCACGAACGATAAGGGAACTAGAAAAAGTTGCACGTGCCAGCACCACGGGGCGACATTGCTGTGGACGCCAGTACGCCACGAACCGGTATTCCTTCTTCGACTGTATGCGATGTAGATTTCTAAGGAGACACAGACCGCAGTAGGCGGCATGGAAATTCTGAAGCGCATGCAAAAAGCCCACCTTATCACCCAAAGCCTTCCTCTTGTTGCTAAGAAAAAACTCCCGCTGGTAGTCCGCTTCCTTGATCTTCCTCATGTCCGCCGCTTTCTTCTTACTCTTCAAGACCGTCGACGCTCCACGGGTCTTGTGGTGCGTCCAATCCTTTCCTCCTTCACCGATGCTGCCGTCGGAGTCGTATGACGCATGCGGGTCGACGTTGCCGGTTTTCTGTTTCCCCCGTCCGCCTGCGCCTGACTCTTTCTTGATCACTCCCTCCTTGGAGTTGGGAGGCGCGCGCGACCCGGATCCAGCGGGCTGCTGCTTACCCGTTGCGAAAACATGCGTTTTTTTCGCGGGGCTCCCATCGGTCCGCAACCTCGTTCGCGAAGGTCGGATCCTTCATCTGCCATCCTTGTCGAGCACGACTTGTGCGTGAGTTTCGCCTTAGCCTTAGGGAGACCGCATTTCTGGCGTTCGGTCGGCCCGAAATCCGACGAAGGTGGGGTGTCCCTCGGGTCCTCGGACTGCTATTGCCCTCCGCGGATTTTGTCTCGAAAGTGGATGCCGCATCCGCTCCTAGTTCCAACCAGTCTTAGTGCCTGTCGTGCGCATTTTCGTCGACAACGCCGTTGACGCCAGAAGGTGCCGCCCATGGATCTCCTAGATTGCTGAACAATAGGTGGATCCAGCAACCCCCGACATCGTCCATTTTCTGTGCTTTGTCGAAGAGACTCCTGGCGCTGGCTGCTGAATACAGCTGCACGTTTTCTCCCGACCCCGTAGGCTCCCACACTGCGATGTTTATCTCGTACAGGTCTGAGACGAAAGCCCGCCAGCTAACGTCGAGCCACTCCTTCTCGACTTTTTCGTTGACCCTTGCCTCGAACCAATCGCACCTTAGCTCGCCTTTGGGCTTCCCCTTGATCACTTTGCCGGTAGCACAAGTCTTGATTTCAGTCAACCCCATATCGATGCCCTTCGTCACCTCATCGTCTGAAAGCGTTGCCTCGGGGTTGAATTCTGTCCCGAGCACGTGCCGGAGCAGGCGGGATATCAGGGCTGTCTTGATGGCATCCACATCATGCGGGGTGTTCACTTGCCCATTACACTCCAGCAGGCCACCAAGGTATGGAGTGGTACCCACACGACCCGTCGCCGGCTGCGTGTCTGACCCTTACTCTATCCACGGGAAGGAAGACTGTCCGGGTTGCGCGGCCGCCGTCGCTGGCTTCCTTTTTCTTTCGATCGACGCACTCCATGGATATTGGCTTTGCTGCAAGATGCGCACGCGCGAACACCACACGGCCGGGCACGGCAGGCTGTGGTTGAAGCTCGGTGCGAGTCAAGCGTCGTCGCACAAAACCCATTCGCTATCTGCCACAGCAGCAGCCATGGTGGACAGACGGAACACTGCAAGCAGTAGAGTGAAAAATCGGGTCCTCATCACGCCTGTTGCCCGTCCTTTGGTGTTTGCGCGCGAGAGGCAGGTATGCCCTCGTCTCGCGGGGCTGCTGAACATGTGGATCTCCCGCCTGTGTTTTATTTGCGGAGGGACTCTGCTGCATGTGTCCCCGCACGGCGGGGTACGCGCGCACACGATCTATTCGCGCTGTCTAGCCCTTGGCCGGCAGCGCTCAGAACACCAAAACTGTATAGCTAGGAAACGTAACCTCACTGGTATCCTCACTCCAGAGTGGGGCTAGTCACAGATGGGTTAAGTGGCTGCGATATCCCCTGGGTCGGCTTCCGCGCGCTTCCTGGTGCGATGCTTTCTTCCTGTGCAACATCTGGGTCCTTGCCGGATTTGGCTACCTGAGGCCAAGTCGGCGGACTGGGCGGAGTGTCGTGTCCTGTGTCGATTGCCTGTTGTTGAATTTCTTCCCGAATCAAGTTGTTGTGTCGCATACGGCGGATCTCTTGTCGGAGGAGCTGATTCTCGATTTTCAGGTCGACGGTGTCGAGGGTTCCCGATCCATCGAACTCATCTTCTCTGGTTGATACCTTGCCTAGAACAGACGTGAAGTTCAGGACGTCGCTCTCGTACAAGTTGTCGTCATCGAGCACACTGGGTGGCATGGAGTACACTGATGTCTCAATGAAGGTCACGTTCCTGCTTTCCACTACGTTGCCGGTTGCAGGATTGTAGATCCGGTAGGCCTTGCTGTCTCGACTGAAGCCGCAGAGTGTTAGATAAAGGCTTACCCATTAGGCTACTCAGTCAGCGCTGACTGAATAGTCTAATGGAGCAAGCCTTACTAACAAAAGATAGACTCTCGGCTCGTAGAATCCCGGGCTGTGAGTAGAGATCTCCCGGGACGGACCCCTCGCCAGGCGCTGCCGAGAACAGAACTATGGTGCTTTTCGTAAAGTGATCAGCCCGGGATTCGAACCTGTGCGTATATCCTTTGATAGATAAAGGCTTACCCATTAGACTATTTAGTCAGCGCTGACTGAGTAGTTTAATGGGGTAAGCCTTCACTACATATGATACATGCACGGGTTCGAAACCCGGGCTGGTCACTTCACAAGCACCCTTAGTTCTTTTCCTGCAGCGCCTGGCGAGGGGTCCGTCCCCGGAGGTCTCTACTGCCAAAAATCCCAGTGACCAGCCGGGTGGCTACGAGCCGAGAACATATCTTTTGTTAGTAAGGCTTACCCCATTAGACTACTCAGTCAGCGCTGACTGAGTAGTCTAATGGGTAAGCCTTTATCTAACACAGAGTTTGCCTGCGAAGGCGCGGTCACTCAGTTTTTTCGTGTACCGCTCGTGATACACGAAAGATCTGGCTCGGATGACCTGGAGGCGAGACAGGTCCGCTTCCTTGCTGTATTATACATCTTGAAGTACGGGGTGACGCCTCCCAGGGTCGAACGAGGTGGCCGGTTGGAAAGGTACTCTGCCGTCATCATTTGTTCCCTCCACAGGGTAGGCGGAAAGGCTCCATCCTTCATGAGATATCGGGTAATTGTCGTCAGGGTTTGCCCGTCTCGCTCGGACACGCCATTCTGCTGAGGCGTGTTGGTCGCGGCATATTCGATGGTGATGTCTGAGTCCATGAAGTACTTGGTGAACTCGTTGGCGACGTTTTCCCCTCCACTCTCGCACCGAATGATCTCAATGCGACGGCCAAGCGGAGCAGCCACCTGCATGTTATAGGCGTGAAGTGCTCGAACGGTCTCGGATATGGCCTTGAGCAGGTAGATTTCCTTCATCCACGAGTATGCGTCGGTGAACTTGGAAACGTACCCAAAGCCTCCCTTCGCGAGAGGGGTGGTTTTTCCCATGTTGTCGGTGTACACCAGTTGCATAGGTGCGGTCGTCTCGCGATTAGTCTTCTCCGGATGTGCTAGCTGCCTGCTCTTGCTGATGGCGCAGATGTCGCACGGAGTCATGGAGTCCGAGAAATCGACTCCATTGTCCTCCTTTTTACGTAGCAGTTCCATGCTCCGGAAGTTGAGATGTCTGAGCCACCGGTGCCAAGTGTTCGCGTTCACTGTGGCTGCACATGCGACCCCTAGGTCATCATCAAGCATCACTGTGTCGGGCTTGCCAATAGCCCGATCGTCGGGAAGTGCGTGAGATGTTGGTTTCGTGGATGCTGTCGTTTGCTCGGAGGCGGCTTGGAACTCTATGTCAACAGAACACATACCCATGTCAAGCGGATCCTGTTTCAGCGGCAAAGTGTGGCCTCCTACCGCGAGGTGCGGGTTTCCTTCCTCGATGACGAGCTTGACACCATTCTTTATCTGCGCGGCACGCGAGAAGACGTTGCGTCCAAGGCCGGGGACGACTAGTCCTCGCAGGAGCACGGCCTTCTTCTCGCCGTTGCTGTCCTTGACGGTGCAATGGATGAGTCCTGTAGCGTTCCCGTCCAGCTCGTGGCCACCGCCGACCGAGACCACCTTAGGTTTGGCGAGTTCCTTTGATTCCCGCATTATTTCCTTCAGACCTGGGATGAGGCGGTCGTCGAGCATATTCTCGGATGCTCCGGTGTCTATAAGCAGCGAGGCTCCGGCGGCAATGGGCTTGAACTCTCTCCCTTTGTGAGCGGTGGAGTACATCAAGGCTTCCTCTGACTCGCCATCTGCGCTCAAGTCAATTTCGGCGTTCGTGCTGCTCGCCCCCAGCGGGGTGCCTCCGATAACCATGGGCTAGAGCTCCTCTCCATTGTGGACGATGGCGCCCATGAATCCTTCCTCTGATTCGCCTTCTGCGGTGAAGTCGATTTCGGCTTCCGTACTGCTTGCCTCCTTCTTTTTCATGGCTGATTCCGTTTTGTTGCTGGTGAAGGAGCAGTGTGCACTATTAACGCATGCTGAAAGGGCCTTGCCCGTGTTGCTGGATTTTTTCGGCCGCGTCGCTCCTTGCTCGAAGCATTCTTCGTCGGAGTACCTGGGCGTGACGTAAACCGAACACCACTTGGCGGCTCCGGCAGGCTTGGTCTTCTTCTTTCCCTTGCGTCTCCTTTCAGGGCAGTCCCTCCGGATGTGTCGCTTTTCTCCTCAGTCGAAACAAGTCGGTCCCTCTGAGGTAGTGGTAGTCATGGCGAAACCGCACCCAGCGATGCTGCCCTTCGACATTTTGCGAGATTTCTCGTCAAGGAACATGTGACGCATGGTCGTTTTCATCTTGCCGACGTTGAAGTCTGGGTCGCGTTACGTGATCATCTTGACATGCTTGTACTCGTTGGTGAAGCCGGTGACGCGTATGTCCTTGAAGTAGCGGTCCGAGATCGTTTCCCCCATCTTCTCAGCCTTGTGTCGTAGGTTGTAGGAGGTGCTTCTGGTTGAAGTAGTCGTCCGGGTTCTGCCCGGGTTCCATGGGTGTGTTGAACAGCTCTGCCATGGTTGCAAGTTTCTGTTTTTCTCTCTTTTTCTGTGCCAGATGGCCTTGTCTCTGCTTGCGTTGTGAAGTACCAAGATTGAACCAAGGGGGTGTACCTCATTCTCTCCGGCACGTGATGGTGACTCCTAGTCTAAGTTGTTACCTCGCATANGAGGTGCTTCTGGTTGAAGTAGTCGTCCGGGTTCTGCCCGGGTTCCATGGGTGTGTTGAACAGCTCTGCCATGGTTGCAAGTTTCTGTTGAACAGCTCCTCCATGGTTGCAAGTTTCTGTTTTTCTCTCTTTTTCTGTGCCAGATGGCCTTGTCTCTGCTTGCGTTGTGAAGTACCAAGATTGAACCAAGGGGGTGTACCTCATTCTCTCCGGCACGTGATGGTGACTCCTAGTCTAAGTTGTTACCTCGCATAGCACGCAGAGGGAGTGGAGGACTCCAGAATATATGTCGTTGATTTCTATTGACTTGTGGACCCCCCGGGGCCATTTTATTTGAGTGTACCCGTTTAGGGTAAGTTAGCCTGAGACCACGGGAATCGACCGCGTCGAGTGTTGGTTGGATCAGTACGGACATACGAAGGTACTGGGTAGAGAGAGATCGGAAAGGTTATTAATGTGAAGACAACAACAACAACAACAACAACAATAATATGCAACAGCCAACCTGCTGTGACCTCCGCGGGGGATGACATTTATATAGTCGGGTAGAATATCACTCCGCGAGGTAAAACGCGAAGAAATGTCTCAGCAGCAATTGAATACCAAAACATATTCTTGAATGGAAACCATGAAATACCCCCGTGCCGTGAATGACGAGGCACCATAGAAAACCATGAGGCTTACCATGGCCCACGGGCCCTTTCCAGTAACCAGGAGTCGTCATCATTCCTAAAACATGTGCAATACACGAAACCTTCTCGTGCTGCTACAAGGATCATGGCACACCACTCCCCCCCCCATTTTTCTTGACAGCAGCACGGCAAAAACGTTGTTCGAACGCTGCACAAGCACCGAATACCCACAGACGAAGACAGCGGCCCGCAGGCCGAAAACACAGAAATCACGGTGGTTCCGAGCACCGAAAACACACCGAAACACAACTATAGTGGCCTCCAGGCCGAAAACACAGAAATCACGGTGGTTTCGAGCATCAAAAACACATCGAAAGTCAAATATAGCGGCCCGGAGGCACCGGAAGAAAAAATCACCGGCCCATAGGCCAAAAAAGGCATAGACTGGTTTGTTTGGTGTATTGTTGATATAATGGGTGTGGAGTGAATGCGAGTGTGGCATCGAAACTCGCTTCGGTCGAACACTTCACGGTATTTCGGGCGTTGTGCAGTGTGCGGTCCCAGTGTTGGTTGACTCGCTTCGCTCGAAGGCACTTACGGTATTTCGGGCCCGGTGCAGTGTGCGATCACAGTGCGGGTCGACGCGCTTCGCTCGAAGGCACTTACGGTATTTCGGGCCCGGTGCAGTGTGCGATCACAGTGCGGGTCGACTCGCTTCGCTCGGAGGCACTGAACGGGGGATCTCGGGCGTGTTGCAGCGTGAGGCCCCAGTGCGGTCGACTCGCTTTGCACTTTACGGGATTTCGGGCGGGGTGCAGTGTGTAACGGCGTAGAGTGGTTTGGTGTGTTGTTGATGTAGTCGGTGTGGAGTGAATGCGAGTGTGGCATCGTAACTCGCTTCGCTCGAAGGCACTTACGGCATTTCGGGCCCGGTGCAGTGTGGGGTCCCAGTGCGGGTTGGCTCGCTTCGCTTGAAGGCACTTAACGGGATTTCGGGCGGGGTGCAGTGTGCGGTCCCAGTGCGGACAGACCTGCATGTACTCAACGGGAGTTCATGCGCAGGCAATGTGACATGTTTCCCCCTCTCGAGGAAATGGCTTTATTCACAGGTGTGGCTTTCTTCGCTTGTAGACACTTGGCTCCATGGGACAAGAGGATTTTGAATCGTTCGAACGCTCAGCAAGTGCATACTCCTCGATACGCCTTGCCCCACCCGAACCGTTGTACATACAGAAGAACTCCAGGCCACACACCCGTCCACTCGCCTGGGGCATTGTACGTCTGTCTTTTATCCCACAGAGTGGCGTGCGCAACTTATTTAACTCCCCTATGTCAACCGTAACTGTCGCCAGTGCTAGGTTATGTGTGCACCAATCTATGATGTGTGGTTATACCTATCCATGTACACGATTAGAGGAAAGGGTTGTTTGCCAAGCGACGAAAACCCAACCCCGATGGCAAACACCGGGGGGGGCGTAATCGCACCGGGGGGCGCGAAAAACGCAAGAGCGGCATGATTGAGTTCGATTTCCGCATCGGTGTTGATTGTGCCCGGGTGAGGTAAACACTCATAACCGGGCACCCGCGCTATTTGATAGGTACATACAAGTTGTAGAGTGGATTCGGGCTGTGACGGGTATTTGCAGCACAGTGTTGGTACTTCTGTACATGGGGTGAGGTCTATCATTGGGGCGCCACTCCTTACATGTGTCATTGCACTGTGTCGCGGTGCACGCAAAGTCGAGTTTACACACTCAACGAAGCACACAGCACACTTTTCGCATCCTACAACCCACGCACCCACCCCGATTACGGAGGCAACTCATACAGGGATTACCGTAGTCGCTGAGGAAGACACAAACCGACAGAGGATATTAAACACACACCAGCAAACGAAAATCTTGAAGATACACCCGCATTTTCTCTGCCGGAAACAAAGGCATAGACTGGTTTGGTTTGTTGTTGATATAATGGGTATGGAGTGAATGCGAGTGTGGCATCGTAACTCGCTTCGCTCGAAGACACTTACTTCACGGTATTTCGGGCGTGTTGCAGCGTGCGGTCCCAGTGCGGGTTGACTCGCTTCCCTTGAAGGAACTTAACGGTATCTCGGGCGTGGTGCAGTGTGCGGTCCCAGTGCGGGTTGACTCGCTTCCCTTGAAGGAACTTAACGGTATCTCGGGCGTGGTGCAGTGTGCGGTCCCAGTGCGGGTTGACTCGCTTCCCTTGAAGGAACTTAACGGTATCTCGGGCGTGGTGCAGTGTGCGGTCCCAGTGCGGGTTGACTCGCTTCCCTTGAAGGAACTTAACGGTATCTCGGGCGTGGTGCAGTGTGCGGTCCCAGTGCGGACAGACCTGCATGTACTCAAGGGGAGTTCATGCGCAGGCGATGTGATATGTTTCCCCCTCGCCAGGAAATCGCGTTGTTCACAGGTGTGACTTTCTTCGCTCGTAGACACTTGGCTCCGCGGGACAAGAGGATTTTGAATCGTTCGAACGCTCAGCAAGTGCATACTCCTCCTCGATACGCCTTGCCCCACCCGAACCGTTGTACATACAGAACTAACTCCAGACCACACACCCGTCCACTCGCCAGGGGCATTGTACGTCTGTCGTTCATCCCACAGAGTAGTGGCGTGCGCAACTTACTTAACTCCCCTACGTCAACCGTAACTGTCGCCGGTGCTAGGTTATGTGTGCACCTATCTATGATGTGTGGTTATACCTATCCATGTACACGATTAGAGGAAAGGGTTAACATTTGGACAGGTAAGGTGGTGCTACTGCTGTCAGCAAGCTGTACGCTATCATGTTGGCTGTTGGAAGTGCGTGGGTCCTTCAATCCGTCCATGGTAGAGTAGAGGTGACGTAGGAAGCGGTTGTGGTCCATGACACCAGTAGTTATGGCCACGCAGGCGAGCAGGCTGGCACGAGTGGCTATTGTGGTGGCAGGCTGTTTGTTTCTTGCTGCTGCTGTGTTGCCTGCTGCTGCTGCTGAAGTGTTACACAGGCGTTATGGGTTCCGGGGACGCACCTCCAACAGCCCAGGTCACCAAGAAGCGACATATATGTCCGTAGGTGTTGCCCCCCCCGCCCCCCCCCCATTACTTGAAGGTTTTTCAAGTCCGGGTCTAGAATCGAGAGACACAAGCGTGAATTCCAACAGAAATAGAGACAGAGAGAGGACCGTGCAGGTAGTAAGAGCTGTGAGGACGATGCCGAATGCTACATGTGCGCGTCTATGATGTGTGTCGTACCTGTCCCATGTACACGCTTGGAGGACAGGGTAGATCCACGCTGCTCTGTGGTTCCTAACCGAAGCACACAGCCATCACACAGCTGCTACACACCTAGACTACACTGCTTGGTGGCTGGCAGTCCATTTCGTGCTAGCTCATGGCAGTAAAGCAACCGGTTGTGCAACAGCAGTTATAGCCTGAAGCCGAGTAGCCTGGCAGCAGCCCGGCGGCTGCTGCTATCTATGTTGTGTCAGCTCTAACTATGTTGTCTGCTGCTGCTGATGTGTTGTACAGGCGTTTTGGTTTCCGGGGACGCACCTCCCGCAGCCCAGGTCACAAAGAAGCTCTGACATATATGTCCGTAGGTGTTGCCGCCGCCCCNTTGGTGGCTGGCAGTCCATTTCGTGCTAGCTCATGGCAGTAAAGCAACCGGTTGTGCAACAGCAGTTATAGCCTGAAGCCGAGTAGCCTGGCAGCAGCCCGGCGGCTGCTGCTATCTATGTTGTGTCAGCTCTAACTATGTTGTCTGCTGCTGCTGATGTGTTGTACAGGCGTTTTGGTTTCCGGGGAACGCACCTCCCGCAGCCCAGGTCACAAAAAAGCGACATATATGTCCGTAGAGGTTGCCGCCGCCCCCCCCCCTGATTAAAGAATATGCGCTGACGGGTACGCGGGGGCTCCGTCCCATATGCGGTGTTACTGCTGCTGCTACAAAGTTGTACGTCCAACATGTAGAGCAGAGTACCTACATGTACCGTCACGCAGCAGTGCCACGGTACACACAGCGAGAGGTCAACACTCACAGCTTCTGTGCGTCCGAAGGTGTGCACCAGCAGCTGTGTTTTCTGCTGCTGCTGATGCGTGGTACAGGCGTTTTG